GTGTGTGTGTGTGTGTGTGTGTGTGTGTGTGTGTGTGTGTGTTAAAATGCCCCTTCGTGTAGTTTTCATTTTCAGCAAAGGTCTGAGGCACCATTGTACATTATAGAAACTTCCTCTTAATACAAACACCAATGAATACATCATTTTATCAAAAATTCTGGGCTTTACGGTGAGGATTATATCCTCCTGACATGTGAAATTTTCCTGAGAGATTTCAGTGAACTATTGTGGAAACAGTAATAAAAAAAATCATGTCTCAGAAATGACATAATATGTAATGACACTTGTTTTATTCCCTAGCCCATCCCCCACTGAGTGCAGAGGCCATAGAGTTTCAATTGACAACACTGCACCCCAGTGTCCAAAGTGAGGAGGGGAGGAATCTTCCTAATGTTTCCTCAATATCTATATGGCAGTTTGGATATTTAGAAAGATTATGCTATAGTTTCATTTCCTCCTTTCTACCATGATAGCAATGAACTATTTTTAATTCCACTTTCTTTCTAAAACCAGACCAAGTTGTAAACAGTGATGTTAGAACAAACTATTTTTCCACTTTATTTATTTGTGTGGTTTTTTCATGTCTTTTCATACTTGCTTCCTTGTTCTTGTTGACAAATTAATTAATTAATTAATTAATTAAACAAAAAAAGATCAGATCTGAGGTTCAATATTGTATACAGAGATGTATATTCCATTTCTCACTTTAAATATGCAAATTCGACTTTCTTATTTAATTCAGAAAGCTGCTCAGATGAAAAAAATAGTTTTTGCTTGGCTTCCTCTCACTGTGTGTTTCTCGTACAGTAATAAACAGCAGAATCCTCCCATTTGAGGCTGTTCATTTGCAGATACAGCTGGCTGAGAGAATCATCCCTGGAGATGGTGAAGCGTCCCTTGACTTTGTCAGAGTAGAAAGTATAAGATGATCCTCTACTTATGCCTGCTACCCATTCCAGTCCTTTCCCTGGAGCCTGTCTCATCCAGCTCATGTCAGAGCTGCTGAAGGTGAATCCGGAGGCTTGGCAGGAGAGACGGAGGGACTCTCCAGGTCTTCTCACATCCCCTCCAGACTCCAGCAGCTGGACTTGAGATTGGACTCCTAAAAGCAAAAGTGGTTCAATGAAATATTCTATATATAAACAGTAAAAAAATGAAATTTATTCTTTAAAGAGGGAAAAATACCTTGAAGTAGCACTAATAAGGGCACCCAATTCAGCCATGGGATCATTTTGGCTCCCTTTAATGAATGGAGGGAATTGAAAAGGAAGAATTCAGGAAAGTGCACAAACTTTGTGTAGGTGGGTGTAGCCTGAAAGGAGAAATCAAGGTTGGTCCTTTAAAGGGGAAATTGTGCCTTCATTTACATATCACTTCAGATAAAAGCAACACTCAGTGCATTAATTTCACAGTTTTCCCTCTCATTACAAGGGGAACTTTCACAAAATATTCCTTCAGATAAAAGCACCACTCAGTGCATTGATCTCATAGTTTTCCTTGTCTTTACAGGGGGGACTTTCACAAAATATTCCAGTCTTCATAACAGTGAAGGCAAACTATTTCTTTCTTTTCTCTTACTGTAAATTCAATTCAGAAATGGCATGTTTATATTAGAGTAATTAAAATAAAGACTTGCAAAATTTCACCAGTTCTCCAAAGTGATTCAAAGGGAGAGGTAAGGACAATGCAATTATAATTTTTGTAAGAGCTACTCTGGAGAGAGACCATGAAGGAAAAGTCACATCTATCTTCAGTTTTCAGTGAACCATTATGGAATTAAAAATAAACTTATCATATCGCAGAAATGAGACAATATATAATGACATCTGTTTTATTCTCTCCTCATCCCCCACAGAGTGCAGAGGCCATAGAGTTTCAATTGACAACACTGCCCCCCCAGTGTCCAAAGTGAGGAAGCAAGACATCTTCCTAATATTTCCTCAATATCTATATTGCAGATATTTAGGAAGATTATGCTATACTTTCATTTCCTCTTTTCTACCATGATAGTAATGGACTATTTTTAATTCCAGTTTCTTTCTAAAACCAGACCANTAAACTAATCATAAAGGGATAATCCTTTTCTTTAAACTATAATATCATAGGAAAAACAGCAGGTTTATACTAGAAAAATTAATAGAAAGACTTGCAAAATAGCAGAAATTCTCAAAAGTGGTTCAAATGGACAGATTGGGAATATGCAATTAAAATTTTGGGAGTAGATATTTTGAGATAGAACATGAAAAGAAGATCAGTCAAAAATCAAATGAATTGATTAGATTTTTCCTCCCTATATTTTCTCCCCTTAGTCTGTCCTCTTGACAAAAACACCAAAACATGAGTGCAAAGCAAATGATGAGGCATCAATTTGTAAGACAATTTGAGTTGAATCAAAGAAAAGACACAGAGAGAATAAATTGATCAAGTCTGTGGGATGTTCATCGCTTATTACATTGGTTTTTAACTCAGCAATAATAATTTCCACTCTTTCTAGAGTCTAAATCGCTTTATGTAATGTGGTGACTAAAACTGGATGCAATCTTCTAGGTGTGGTCCTACTAAGCCTTTATGGAGTGGTACTATTACCTCATGTGATCTTGATTATAGCCCTCTGTTAATGCGATTTAGGATTGCATTGGCTTTTTTGGCTGCCACCGGACGTTGTTGGTTAACATTTAATTGTCACCTCAGACATGGCTTCACAATGAGGAATAAGTACTCTTGTTATGTTTGTGTGTGGTAAAATGTCCCTTCATGTAGTTCTCATTTTCAACAAAGGTCTGAGGTATCTTAATATATTCTAGAAACTTACTTTGGATACAAAGACCAATGATACATAATTTTACCAAAATTTCTGAGCTTGATGAGGAGGATTAAAACCTCCCGACATGTGAAATTTTCCTGAGAAATTTCAGTAACTATTATAGAAATAGTAATAAAAAATCATGTCTCAGAAATGACATAATATCTAATGACACTTGTTTTATTCCCTAGCCCATCCTTGATTGAGTGCAGAGGCCATAGAGTTTCAATTGACAACATTGCCCCACAGTGTCCAAAGTCAAGAGGGGAGGCACCTTCCTAATGTTTCCTCAATATCTATATGGCAGTTTGGATATTTAGAAAAATATATGCTATAGTTTCATTTCGTCTTTTCTAACATGATAGTAATGGACTATTTTTAATTCCACTTTGTTTCTAAAACCAGACCACATTGTAAACAGTGATGTTAAACCAAACTATTTTTTCAGCTTTATTTATTTATTTGTGTGAATTTTTTTTTCTTGTGCTTTCATACTTGTTTCCTTGTAATTGATGACAATTTAATTAATTAATTAATTAAATAAATAAATAAATAAAAAATCAGATCTGAGGTTCCATATTGT